AATAACGCCTTTTATCGACAGAGTTCTGTCGATAGAAGGCATTATTGCATCTACACTGTCCTTTGCGTCCACACTGTTATGTCGAGAAAGCAGCTTGCTTTGTTGACAGAACTGGATGTAGTCTAGACGCTCTTTGTCGACAGAAGCTTTGTCGACAGTATCTGTCGACAAAACTTCTGTCAACAAAACCCTATAGTCTAGACATACCCTCAGAGAGGTAGATCTCAAGCCAATTTGGATTTACAGGTCATATATTTTTAAGTACATCTCCATGTCCCAAACATCGTAAAATTTTACAAGCCATTTACTATATGCCACTTTCAACAGACCCAACAGAAACATTGATAATGGCTACAAATGTTTGAATACTCTGTTCAGTTTCACAGCCATTTAAAGAACAGCTTTTTGACTTCACCATCAAATAGCTTTGTGGTTCATTTGAAGAACACCCACAGATCTGTAAGTTCAGCAGAGGCACTCATTTTCATTTATTTTTAAAATGAAGCTTCTTGGAAAAAATGTTGTAAAAATCATTAGTAACATCTCTGCTTGACTTCTGATACCCATTATTATTCCCACAGTTGTTTGTGTGTGTATTTACACAGTAACTAAAGTGTGTGAGTGTATTTATATATCTATAAACACAGAGTTTCTCTATGGTATCCAGTAGATTTCTTTACTACAAGATTTTGCCTTTAAGGACAAAATTACACAAGTTCAAAAATTGTTTTTAAAAGGATACAGTTTGGTAACCTTTATAATAATGAGGACTATTAAATTCATGTGCTGTTCTGAGGAGTGAAATACCCGTCCTTCTACAACTAGGGCCTTGTGAGGTTTTATTTCTTAATCCATAATCACCATAGAGTCATTGTTCCAAGAGTCAGCTTTGAACTTTTTTTACTTATATGCTTCCCTGGCAGAAGATTAAAGGGTTTTCAGCCCTTTAAACTCATCTGTATTCCCCTTCATAAAGAGAACTGCTGAGACATGTCAAATGCTGGCTCACTATAGGCATTTCATATTGCTAACCCAAACAATAGGACTTTCCTCTAAAGGACAGAGCACAGAACCATCACATTCTAGATGTTAGTTTCAGTGTGCCAGCAATGAGTGATGACGACTTACTAGCTAAAGCCTTTCTTCACTTTAGATACACATCCTGTCTCTTGTAATCCAACTATCACTTTTGCAAGATGCTGGGACTCTCTACTGTAATGAAAGTGCTGCATTTTTTATAAATGTTAACCTGTTTTTCATTTCCTTTATGGAGATTTACATTTCAAATGGAGTTTTTAATAAGGGATAATAAATAGAATGCACCTCGTATAAAGATTTTCTGAGTAAGTCTAATCAATACAGAATATTTATTTTAAACCAATACATGTGAATTATCCTATGCAAAGTTATTAGGCAATTGCTTGAAACAAGGTGTAGTTCTTTTAATGTGTTGATTTTGGAGAACTATTGTTACTATAAAATGCCACGATAAGGAGAAAATTTATATTTTAGTAATGTAAAGACAGATTTAAATCCAAGAACTCGAACTGTTATCTTGCTGTTGCTAAGTGGCTATCACATTAATCCATACCCCTGAACAACATAGTTATACCAACCTAACCCCTGGCATAGACGGCTGATAGTGGAGGGCTGATATAGCTACTGCCTCTCACGGGATGGATTAACTACTCCAATGGAAGAAACTCTGCCATCAACATGGTAGTATCTTCACTGAAGTGCCACAGAAGTGTTTTAAGTATAAACCTACGCTTAGTCTGAATATTTTTAATTTTGAAGTGCCCCATTGTGCAAAGACATACGCCTAAGCCTAGCTCCAGTGAAACTTTTGGGAGTACACGAATACGTGAACAAACTTACGCACCTGCATTAGACTTAAAAATCAAGACCTAAATCTCTTCTTTGATAAAAGACTTCCCACAAGTAGGTCAAAATAAATTGACAAGTTAGTTTAGGCTGAAAGAAACAAAATCTTTGAGCCAATTGTGACAAAATAAATAAATAAAACAGAGCTATAACAATCTGTTTGGAAATTGGTAAAACAGGTGGCAAACTGGAACATTCATCTCTATTCTAAGGCCTGTGGTATCACTTGTGATTGAGGAAGAGTCAGCTACTTTCCTCTTCCCACAGAAAAGAGACACAACATAAAGACAGATCTTGAGCAATTTTCCAAAATAATGGAACAATAGCTCTCCGGGCTGGATTGTCTCCATTCCCTTTTTGTTCTTAGTGTGCTACACTGCAGACTTCTTACTGCTAGATATTACTGTACATATCCTCTTCCAGATGTGAAAATGTAGATTATTAGCTGTAAACCAGATGCTTGTTTTACAAAAGATGGTTCTTGTAAAGTAAGCAAAGTGATCAAAGAGGGAAGGAAAATTAGATTGAACTTTTTATGTTGTTATTATGACACCAACAATTGTGTGAAAGCAAAAGATGCAAGGAGAACATTTCTTCTATTACATAGTTTCAAAATGTTCAGTCACTCAGCAAGCAGACATTTACCAACAAAGTACAACTCCAGGAGCAAGTGTATTTTGTTATTTCCTCTTATAAACACAGTAATTCCACTCTACAGGAATTTCATTCTTTGATTTTGATTTTTGTAGGTTCCCCCTGCCTGTCACCTTAAGAGATGAGTTTCATTCTGAATTATTAGTAATGCCAACTCTTGTGATTTAATCACAGATCTTGTGATTCGGTATTTTTCTATAACCTCCGTCCCTGTACTCATTTGATTTTATGAAAATCTCGGGTTTAATTTTTGAAAACTGTTTCTAGCTCTCGTGGATGTGGAGAGAAGCTTGAAAACATGAACCAAAAAGTAAGAAATTAAAAAAAAAAAAACCAAAATGTATAACTTCTAAAACAGATAATCTCCTGATTGTTTAACTCTTGGAAATGACAATAATGTAATTTCAAAGTATAAACGTAAAAATAGCACAAATATGCTTGAAACTGGTCCCAGATCACTTGAAAAGATTATGAACATTTCACAATTTTAAGGGATACTCCATGTTTTCAGGCTAATTATATGGAAATCAGGACGTTAGCTACCTTATAGTTGATGTACAAGTTTTTAAAGGACACAACAGAGTAGATTTTTGAGATAGAGGCTGACCTTGTCAGTAATAAGCCAGGAAGGAGGAGATGAGGGGATATAGAAAAGGTGTGCTGAAAGTGAGAGGAGATAAGGAAGGGTGCAATGATGGAAGAAAATAACCACGTGTTCTGCTTTTTGGCTTGGAAATATGGTCACTCTAACTAACAAACAAACAAGCAAACAAACAAACAAACAAACCCATCACCACCAACAAAAAGGCCCAACCAGCAACGCAATTGTGAGGGAAGGATTCTGTAATTGTGGCAGCTCCCTAGATCACTTACTTTTCCCCCTCTAGTATATTGTGGGACCACAGGGCAAGGCATTTCTTGGCCTAATTTGTACATGCAGAAAACCTTGGGGCTGCACAAATCACAAGGCCAGACTCACCTCAATTGACTTTATTTTTTTGATACTTAAAAATTACAGGGTTGTATTTTGGAAGAGCCACAGAATTCAACTTAAAAAGTAGTGTTTTCATTAGTTACTGTAATATACAAGAAAGGTGTCAGAAACTGCAGACTCCTATATTGTACTTCCATTCTTTAACATATCAGCCAATTACATCAAATTAATGAAAACAAATGTTTAGAGCCAAGAATTCAAAGTAGGATGCCAAATTCTTTTCTTTTGGCAGGATGTGCATGGCAAGAATATTATTGCTGTAAAAAGGAAGGACTCAGAGTCCTGTGGGAATATAAGGCTGAAATACATGACAAATTCTGAACATGGAGGCCTCTTTGTCCTTGCAAAGTTCAGGGGGGAAATTAATTAAGCTGAGTTATTTTCTCATCTTTTCTTGAAGCCTGAAGACTTGGATTTCAAGCTCTAATAACTTTAAAAAGCAATTAGCTGTATAAGGCAAGCAGATTAGTTTGTATTTGTTTATCACAACCTTTGTTTTTCCTTTGCTAAGGAACTGCACACAGCAAATGTGGATATACTCCTTCATCGAGTATTACAGAGAAAGGACAGATGCTTTCCAAACAGGAATAATGGATTCTTAAGAGAATTTCACAACAAAACCATAGTAGGGTGCTCCGTTGCAAGTCAGACCACTTCAGCAATACAATTACTTCTCTCCCCAGCCTCCATTTTGTAAATATTAACTCTCACTAAAATCACAATAGATAGTGAGGTAACAGCAGGTATGTATTAGGGATGTAATAGTATAGTCAATTAACCGATAAGCAAAAACTTATAACTTAATGCTCTAGACTACACACATTTCTCTCTCCCCCTCTCCCTCCCAGTAAATTTTTTAGTAGGTTGGCCATCAGCCTGGCTCAGTCCTGGCTCGCACCGGTTCCAGGACCTTCCCCTGCATTTAAATGTATTAGGAGCCAGGTGGGCAAGCAGCCTTGCTCAGTTCTGGCTCACACTGAGTCCGGGAGTTCAGACCTCCCTCTCCCCCCCCCCCCCCCCC